GATCCGAGAATTCACAAACAAAATGCCATTCTGCAGATTTACCTCCAGAAGGTCCCCGCGGCCTTTGGACGCCACCCGGAACAGGCGCGGCACCAGCTCCGCCAGTTCCAGCCCCAGGTCCTGCGCGATGCGGCCCACGAAGGTGCCGTGTTTGGCCTCCTCGGCGACCGAGTAGTGGACCTGTCCACTCCCAGTCTCCCAGACTGCAAGGAGCAGAAGCGAGAGCAGCAGGCAGCAGGCTCCTGGTCTTCCTCGCCAGGAAATCACCATCGCAGATAAGGAGATTTTTGAGGTAGGAATGTCTGTTTTAAGGGATCGGTTGCCTGTGAACCTTTATGAGTAGTCTCCCTGTGCTGTAAGTACCGTATGTTTAGTAAATTTTACCCAGAATTCCAGTTGAGATGGAGTCGACCCTATTCTGTGAATTGTTGGAATCTGGGCGCGGATTCCTTTTCACTTTTTGAGCGTACAGCGACATCATGTGACTGATTTTGTATGTACAAGAAAGGTCCTGATCTTTTTTGGTTTAACCACTTCCCACGTCACTTTAAATTGTTTCGACTTTTGGATATTTTCATGGATCATTTGTAAATGCTTATTGTTTAACATATAATCTTAGTGACAAAGGACACATACTTCTATTATACTGCAGTTTGTAAAACCATTCTGCTTCAAAGTCTATAATAAAATAATCATTGAAATACAGTATGTCAGAGGCTATTGTTTAGCTACCATGGAGAATAAAATAAAGAATAATATACATCACTCCTGCCTCTGTATTGCCTACAATTCACACTTGTAATGACTTTTATCTTACAGAAGCATTTCACTGCAGAACTTTAAGAGAAAGTAAAGCACTCCTTCATTTGGTAAAGGAAAAGAAAGTAAATATTTCATTCATATAAATTATTGATAAATCTGGTGAATATTAGAATTCATCATAAATATGGAAGATGCCATTGTTTTTGGTTCCTCGATGATGAGACAAATAGATTTAAACGGAGCAAGCTTGTAGGCTAACAGGAGTGACCTTAAACATTAACCGCTTGGCTCTGACTCCCCTGGCTGGCACTGCACCTACAAGCTGACAAGCACCTACATCCATCATAGGTGAGAACAGAACAGTTCCCAGTCTCAACAGTAACCCCCTGCAAGCTGACATCCATCATAGATGGGAACAGGACAGTTCCCAGGAGAAGAAAATTGTAATGGCAGTCCACCTGCAAACTGACAAGCAG